TCTTATAGTAAAAGAAATATTCAACTAATGAATGATACCAGTAGTGATAATTGCTTATTAAAAAGTAAATGAGCCGAACAATACAACATTTCAATTAGTTCTGTATCTAATGTATTAAAATGAGAAAAAAAAAAATTTACAAGATTATGAAAGACATCAGAATCAAAATTAATCGATATTTTTATTGTGTCGAAAAAACAAAGACGAAGAACTTTAGAAAAGTTTTTGCAATAAAGTTCAGTGTTTTGTTTTCTGTGGAAGATTTTTTTTCCCTTGAAATAAATTTCATTGATAGAAGATAAGATAAACAGAAGATGTTCTTCAATTATCTAAGAACTGGAGAAGAAGTTTAGTTTCTAAAACTTAATCTCATAGTGTAATAAAATAGATGACATCTCCCATAGGTAAATACCTCTTAAAACTGAACACTTTTCAAACATCCCAAGAGTGTTCACTTAAGAGAGGTTTTATGGTAATGCCCATACCCGGTTGTCAGTTCTAGCACGGCTCAAAAGTTTGAAGCCTTTCGTGAATACGATGTCAAGATTAGCCTAGGAGGCATTACACTTCAGCCATGACCGATCACAGTAGACCCTTGCACAATGAATAACGCTGATTTGGCTGATATTTTAATAGTACGTAGACCTAACAGATTTAGGAAGAAATTCAAAATTTCAGTTCAAACAGATAAATCATTCTGGAGATATATTCATTGCAAGTATGAGGCGGTAGGCTATACTTGGAACACTTTTCAGAGCAACACATTTCAGTAAATTTTCATTTTCTAAGCAACGATAAGAGTTATAACTGAGATTTTTTAACCACAAATACTGTTCACTATGGGCTATCTTTTAATGATATTAAAAGTACCTCATCACTCGATAACTGTTGTTTGGCATTATATACCATTTTCAAAAACCACGCCTACCTAAATAAAGCAAGTTAGTCGGATCGACGCAATAGAATAATTCGAGAATATGGCCTCATTTGAAAGAGCACATCAAAATACGTGGAATTCAGTTCTTAAAACATTGTGATATTGAATTTTAGTATAGAAAATTCTTTTAACAATATCCTACATTTTTATAAAAAAATCTTTGGCTAGAAAAACATATGTGTGTGCTCGATATTGTTAACATATCAGTACTATAAATAGTCTTTTTGAAAAAAGTAATTATATATTCTGATATCCCATAAAATTCTCTAAAGGTCTACATATTAACATCTAGGGTTACATTTATTCACTGAAAAAATTGTAGGCACACAAGATAATTTTATCGTCAGATTTCTTCGAATGGTATATTTTGTTCTTTTTCTATTAGTCTGTTTCAATATTATTTCAATTGTAGAAATAAATTATAAGAAGAAAGTTATGTGTTTTGATATTGCGTGAGATTCGGCATCTTTTGATGCCGTATTCAAAAGACACAAAAACATGAACGGGTATTTAGTAGGGAAATTCCAGAAATTTTTATACTAACAAATTGAATTCTCGAAATTCATATTTAACCTCTATAATTCTCTCTCTAGTCCTGAAAATCTCATAGTACTCAATGTCAGAGCTCCACTGCTTTATCACATGGCTAGAAAAGCTGCATTAAACTATTGAAGAAAATTATTTCCCAGAGAAACTTCTTTTTCGTGTGCTTGATCAGTGCAGACGTCAAAATTTATCCATAGCGCATCACTTTCTTGTTCAAGAATTTCAAGAAAGTCACCTGCAGGAGAGAAAGAATTTCATTAATATGATGATTAAAAGCACTAGATATAATTTCCAACGTCAAACTTATTGCCAGGAAAAGTATTCAATCTGGAAAGCGATTGGAACTCGAATGTATCCTTTCTACATAGAATTTTTTCTTATGAGCATGAACTACCCAGTTCTCAAGATCTGTCCATAGCCTATGATGTTCTTGCTTCAGATATTCAATTGCATAAGGTGTGTATCGAGTTCATTTTGACATAAGAGCAGTTTGCTTTCTTGTTTTTACGGGAAAATTCCTGACGTAGAATAACAGATAGCAGGAAGGAACAGGATAACTTAATGAATAATACAAGAAATACGTCGGACAAAATGAATCTATGGCATTGTATCCGTAACCTTTTATTCATTCAGTAATCTGACTGTTGAACACGCTTAAATCAATAAGGTAGCAGCGTAGCCTTCCTGTCTTTGAAAAGACAAGAGACTTTCTGTCTATCACTACGGTTGTCACATTTACTGTTACTACGACTTCCATTTATCATGATAACAGCAGGTGTTTTTATGGTCGAAAAACTACCGGTTTAGCAACGATACACGGTTAGTTTATATATCAGTTAATAATTCTTGGAAGCTAATCTTCATCATCCACCATCTACTAGTACCAGCAGTTGGAATACGATACTTCTATCCATCGCTACACTGTTTTTGACATCAATTTTGACACAAAAGAGAAGAATTTGAGAGTGAAGGAGAAATTGCCTCCGAGAATCTTATCACATGCAATTGAGATTTATCGCTAGCTGAAAAAGAAGATGCACCATGAATTTTATCTTAGAATAAGCTATATTTCTCTGATTTAGATAAAAAAAAGCAACATTAGATTTGGAGTACTAGCTTGGCTCTTGATTCAATGAATTATAATGATTTTCGTCAGATTATACAATACGAGCTTTTTTTACACTAGACTCGTACAATTGATCTACTTTGTCTTATTGCAGATTTTCTCGCTTTTATTCTAGCAAAATTAACATCAAGCTTAGAATAGAAGATGATAGGCTAGATCATAAACTTGATAAATTGTCTTTCTAACATTATCATATAGGAGAAAATCGTGAGATAATTTTGGAGCTAATTGTTTCGAAGCAGCCTGTTTCTTGTCGTTTGTGACATTTTGGAAACTTTAATGAAAAGTGCAGATCACTGTATTTGAAGGGGAAACAAAACCGATTTCATATGTACTGGACTGCCTAAACTTTGCTTAAATATTCAGGATCCTCATCGAGTTCCGCATTTCTATTCTTTTTATTTTTAAGCTGTCTGCCTTTTTTCTCGAAAATTCACTTGTTACTCTCAAGCCTTCCTTGAATCAGAGAGATCAAATGATATTTATGCTTCCTCAACAGAAATGCAGTCCGGTCATCATTAGTGAACTACATCGGTTTTTTTTCGAGTTGTGAGTAAACAGTAAATAAAAACTTTACATCAAGATCAAACTCTTTTTCGAGATGTGAATTCGATAGTGGAATCTTTCAGCTTTCGAATAATGCATTTGGATCTGAAGAAGATTTTATTCCTGCAGTTCTACGCAGAAAACGATCATTAAAAAAATTGAAATCGGGTTTAAATCGAACTCTGATTTTTTCATATATTTTCCTTCTCTAATTCCATGGATTAATTATTTTTCCCGAAACAAGGCACATCATTTGGAAACTAGAGGACTTCTCTATCGAACCCGCATTTCAAAAAAAAAAGAGTTTGATAATGGTGTAAAGTTTTTATTTACTGTTTACTCAAACCCGAAAAACACCCGATGCAGTTCACTACATATGATTCAATATGTACTACAAAGGTTTATCTGACTAGAAAAACAGTAGATATGAATCTATTCGAAAAATCTCATAGTCATTGGCAGATGTTTCTCATGTGTATTATTGATAGTATTCTATTTATATCAAAACACTAATTACGACTCGCAATTAATGCATGAATGATCGGTATCTCTTCTAACTTTTTAGATTTGGTTCTTATTATTGACAGCGAATATATTTTCGGCGTAGCTTGGAATCCTATGGGATATAATCAGGCAAAATTGTATTCACATAAAGTTACATTTCACTCTTAGTCAATCGATATTTCGAATAGCATTTGAAATTGAAAACAAATTCTCTTGTCTGAAATTTTAGTCGTAAAACCGGATTGCACTGTATCATCAGTAAAGCAAACACTTTAATATTCTAATATCTCGAATCTGTATACAGTTAGCATTTAATCTTTATTAGTCTGATATCAAATATTACACAAATGAGTATTTTATTTGTAAATATAACTTTCAATAGAAATAAATATTATTTAAAGATGAAAATAGAAATCGAAATTGTTTTGTTTATTTTTCTTTTGATTCTAAAATTTACTTATGCTGAGCATATAATTGAAAAAAACTTTCAAACTCAATTCATATTTTGTATAGCAGAGATATAATGAATTAAAGTTTATGGTCTTATTAGAAATTTTTGGGTTGCACATGATCATTCTTATGGAATTTTGGGTAGACAAATTTTTCTCTAGAGATCGCTCTTGTCTTATCATGTTCTCTTATATATAATCTTTATAGTTAAATCAAAGAAAAACTGATTCAATTGGTAGAATTGTATGAAATTACTCATAATCGATGCATTGACTCATGAAACTATATTTAAATTATTCTATTCATATTCTATTTTATAATAATATTTAAATCTTTAACTAATCTTATATATAGTACAGTAAATGTGAATTTTATATCTCCCGACGCTAAACGTATTGCTGAAGCCGTTGGTGACATTAAACAGGTCTAGTGTACATAGAATATGATTGTCTCTAACATCATTGATTCTTGTTGTAATTACCAACAGATATGCAAATGGCTGTAACAAACAAACTTGATAAGAGTTTTCAGCCAGTACCAAAACCTAGTCGTGATGATTGGTTAAGAACTCATGAAGAAAAATGACAAACTATGAAATCATTTGAACGTGTCACATCAAAAGTTGTTCCTCATGCAACTTAAATAAAGATTTATTATGTCTGTTGTTTCGCGGAGATTTCTTTTTTATATAATAATCACAAAACTATTTATATTCAACCAGTTGGTAGTTTTAATTATCCGCGGTAAAAATGAATTGTACTGTTTTTACCGATTTAATTTTGAATATGAAATTTTAGAGTCATACCCCTCAATATAATTATTGAATTTGTTCGTGTATTTTTTTTTGAATGTGAAGTTGAATTATTATCAACTATTGACTTTTCAAAACATATGAAATATCAAGAAAATGATGGCATAAGACAATATCAAACAGATGACTTTTATAATTATCTCTCTCAAACACGTCATAAGCGTAATGCAAGACAAGAACTTTTATGTGTTGCTGTAACTGTGGCTGATATTTATCTCAACGAAATTTGGGATTTTGTTTATGGACAAGCACAAGCAATAGATGGTGTCGGTGTTTATTCATTTGCACGTCTTGATCCATTATTTTCTGCATCACTACAAACATTACTCTCATTTTCATTAACTGATGGACATCGTGTAATAATACTTCGACGTTGTGTAAAAATTCTTCTACATGAATTAGGTCATTTATTTGGTTTAAAACATTGCATCTATTATATTTGTCTGATGAATGGTGCAAATAATGAAATCGAAATGGATCGGCAACCTTTATATTTATGTCCTGTTTGTTTACGTAAACTTTATTCAACACTTCAATTTAATGTTCGAGATGTGTATGAAAAATTTCTCAACCTATGTGAAAAATACGGACTTGAAGAAGAACGAATATGGTATCAGAAACACCTAAATTGTATTCAAGATACAAACAAATAATTGAACACAAAATCATAAAAATTAAAACAAGAATGAAAATGAGAACATCTATAACATCCTTACGAATAAACTGTAATATGTAAAACATCTGTAAATTATTTTGAACTAAAATGAACTAAATATGTTAAACTTTTAATAAAGATTAATATTAAATTAACCTTTTAGAATCAATCGTACATACACATTGTAGCGCCTAGTTCTCAGTAGAGAAGAAAATATTTATTCCACATTAAATTATTATGACCTGTAAAGCCATAGATCACCGTAATTGCCATTTCATCTGGTATCATGCAACCCGCTTGGTTGCCCAGCACTTGGTCGGACCCAGAACATGGATCTCAGATTCGATCCCAAAAATAACGAGATCTCAGCGTTTTAAAATACGTTTTTTGCAAACTACTAATTTATGTAAAAGCATAGAAACAAAAGTTTGAAAACCGTGCGGTGACTGTAAAAGTATCTGAAGAATTTGGATTAGTCCTAGTCGAGTGCTAGATACAGCTCTTCGGTTCTGTGGCTAGTTGTGGGCAATCTTACTTGTGTAGGACACTTGTCCTATGCATAGCGCCTAGTAGAATCAGTACATCAGAAAAACTTGGTCAAGTCTTTTGTGGAAATGCATTTCAATACTCAGCTACCAGAAATAAGTGCTTGTAAAGCTTCGAAATAGTATTTAGGTACCGTTAAGTAAGTAATCTAAAAGGACAGAGAAAGTATCAAGCATTCAATAATTTTACTAGTTTATCGTTATTTTCTTTCTTCGTTTCATAAGATTTTTGTGTAATTATTATGAGTCAAATACAATTAATCGATTGAAAAAATAATTCCAGATGCAATAGATTTAGCGCCGGATAACTTATTTTCCAAACAATAATAAATACCAAATATTTATGTTAAAGATTCATAAACTGTACAATTTTATAAAGAAATGTGGTTCACAATGATTTTCCGCATTAATTTTTTTACGAAAATTTCCAGAATGACTTTCACCGAAACAGATTTTTCATTGAAACGTGTTTCATATAAGACCTCCGATACATAGGAATGATACTAAGACAAATGTAGTTTACAGTGTTCAGCATGGATCTATTATTGATGACCTGACTCTACGTGTGTTCCAGAATGTGTTTTAGTGAACACGATCGTATTTTTCCTCAGGTTAAGTCTCCTTTTCGATAAGTCTATACAAGCTCTAGCAAAATTGAGAAGAACGAAAGCATTATCTCATCTGACACTGCTATGTGTCTTACGTGCAACTCGATATGTATCAAATTATGACCATTCGACCTGGTCCACGTTGGACTATGGTAGCGCGTGCTTTTTAACGAATAGAAATAATCGAACAAAGTGTCTCGCATCTTCTGGTGGACTATCAGATTCTGCTGAAAAACTCATTGAAAGTATTTACAGTATGCTGCTGATTTGGATTCAGAAACTTTGGACCAATGAGTTCTACCTCACTTCTGCTTTCAATTTTATTCTTCATGGTAGAAGCATTTATGTATTCATACGAAAATAATTTCAACTATATAGGTGGCTTTTTAGCTTATGTTCTTCGAATATCTTTTTTCGAAACTATTAGTGCTATTAAAAAAATTTTCTGATGATGCAATATGGGATGAGTGATTCGTTTTCCATTGTAGAGCAATCTTCTTTATCTATTCTGGGTTTTTACATAGTTATCATGTATGCGCAAGAACAAAAAAGATTTTCACGTCAGTATTACTCATGCTCACAGATATCATTTTTACCAAAAGATAAGGGCTAAACATCTGAGGCAATATAACAGCTAGCAACAACAGTCACATTTATGCCTTTTTTTTAAATAGGTGTAGTTTAACTTTTATTTCAGTACATAAAAGAATCTATCTGGAAATATAATTATTTATATCTCGTTGCAGTAATATTCTGGTATATCAACTTAAAAAGGAACTTCTATTACTATAATTTTTAATAGTATTGCAGGGATGACATTATCGCCTTCTGTTTCTGAAAACTTGTATAATCAAACATTAGATACACTTCGTTCAAGCGAAAATAAACTATGTGGCATATGTAAACAATTAAATAGTGAATCATTACGATCATCACTGACACACGATGATTTAACACAATATCATAATTTTTTTCGATGTGAAATCGAATCTGTTGAAAAATTAGAATTACGTATGGCTATTGTTGGTACTATGAAAGCTGGTAAATCAACAATATTGAACGCAATTATGGGTTATGATTTATTACCATCGAGAAATACAGCCATGACAACGTTGCCGACAGAAATATTATTTAGTCAGGATACACAACAACCACAGTTAATATTAAAGTCAGAACTAATAAATATGATTAATATTATTGCCAGACAATTACAATTAAAAAGTAATGAAAGTAATTTACAAATTCGGTTGCGAAACGAAGAAGATTTAATTAAAATGGTGCATAATATGTCAGCAAACGAACCGATGACTTTAACAACAACAACAAATGAGAGTTCAAAAATTGTTGGCAGTCTAAAATATATCAACGATGTAGTACGCATATCAATTATGCTAAACATAGAAAACTCAATCGATTCTACGTGGATTCCTCGTCTAAAAGTGCCACTACCTCACTCCTTTTCGATTCCACAAGGCGAATTCATAATTATTGATACACCAGGACCGAACGATAACAACCTATCTTCTCACTTGAGACAAATTGTTATTTCAGAACTGCAAAAAGCTACATTAATATTAGTTGCACTTGAATTCATTGGATCAGATTCCAATGACGAAGCAAAACTTCAGGAAGATATCGAAACTATACGAGAATATAGAAACACTGATGGTCCATCGCATCTGTATGCATTAGTTAATAAAATTGATCAGCGTATAGAAGGTAAACATAATTCAGTTGAACAAACGAAAGCGGCAGTAGCGATGAAATATAAAATACCACTGACTCATGTTCATGAAATATCTGCTATGAATGCAATACTATCATATACATTTCGTCAAGAATATAAAGAGCTTGAAAAGAATTCGCATGTTACATATGAAATATTGAGGCGCGAAACAAAGTCTTATAAAATGTTTATGCAACAAGCATTGGGTCAAACATGGGAACAAGCAACCGAATATATAGACGTGAATTTCCTACCAAATATTGCTGACAAATTATGGAAAAAGTCAAATTATGATTCATTTTTACAAAACGCATTAGGTATAGTTAGCCAACAGGTTATGCCGATCTGTTTAACTATGGCATTACAGAAATGCAATTATTACATAGAAAAATGTTATGAAAAGATTAGTATCAGAAAATCTTGTTTGGATATTGGTGAAAAATCATTGCTCGAAACAATAAGTCGCTTAGAAAAAGATCAACAACAACTTGATTCGAGTCGAAAAGAGACAGAAAAACATCTTCATCAACAGATATTGATCGTTATTGAACGTGTAAACAGTTTGTTTAACGAAGCCAGTAGTGGAAGTGAGCAGTACGTGGTCGAAATTATCGACGATAAATCTACACGGCATTGTCGTTCTCATTGGAAAAAATTACTTCATGGTAAAGATATATTGTACTTTAACACGAAAGTACATTGAGCCGAAACATTAATTCAGATATAAATAGAATGTGTTTCGCATTCAGAAATCAGCTGCAATCGGTAACTAATAATATTTGTGAGAGTATTGGCATGCGTCTAAAATTATTACTTGGTTTTGATATAATTCCATTGGAAAGTTCATCAAACCTAATGAATGTGACCTATTTATCAAAAGCTCTTACACAAACAGAACTACCCGTGCGCCGTCGACTTTGGTACTTTTTATGGTTGGTTAAAGGTATATATAAAATAAAAGTTAATCAATTATCAAAGAAACATTTAGAACATGTCGCGATAGACACACTGAAGGAAAATTTTAAAAAATTAGAACAATATGCAGTTGATGAAGTAAAAGAACGAGTATGTACCGTATTCACTTCACATTTCGATTCAATCGAAAAGTATTTATTGGAACAATCCAATAATATACGAACAGCCATTGGGGATAAAAAAATTGAAAGAAAAGCTATTGAAAAACAATTTGATTTAATTTTGAACGACTTGAATAACAACAAAGAAAAGGTTCAAAACACGTTGAAAGCAATCAACACATTATTCAAAGACTGAGGACTGGTACTTTAAGTTGCAAATTTAAAAACAATTTTACATCAAAACTTTTATAATTATGTAATATGAATATAATATTGAAACTACACAGAATACTATGTTGATTATAAATACACATACCATTCATAACTTTATGTGTATAAGCAATCGAGAAAATTGAAGAGAACAAAAGTTCGACAAACTTTTGAGAGAATCATAAGCAGAATTTTCAAAAAATACTGAAATTCACTTTTAAACTTTCTCAATATAAGTCGTCACTCTATTTTATGTAAATAGAATTAATTAAATTATGATAAATACAACATGAAAAACCTCTCGGTGCGGAGTATGAGTGGAGAGGCGTGTGAGTAAAGAAAAAATCTGTAGGCACACTCAACCAATAGAAAAATGGAATATAAGATTGATTAGTTTAGCTTTTTCTTCTCGATTGTCTTTTTCCATATGATCGGTCAAATTGCTTCTTGTCGTTAATATTATTACAGATATTTCATGGTTGACATTGAACTTATCGATTTCGTCCTTTCGGCTTTTTCCTTTTTTTTTTGCTTTTCGTATTGGACGTTGTGAGTTGCTTTATTTTTCTCTCCCTCATTTCCGTGTTTTCCATCGAACCGCGTAAGACAATGTGAATATTGAAAAAATGAGACTGTAATTTTTAACTCTAAATTATTTTCTATTCATTAGAGAAACTTGTAAGAAAAAAAGCTGATATTATTAAGAAATATTTCCTTCTGCTTTATAATAGTATTATTCATTTGTTCGTCGTAGAATGTTCTGTTCATTGTATCAATGTGATAATAACATCAAATGAAAGCAAAATATTAATATTACTTGTATACTTTTGTTTATTTGTTCAGCTATCAAATTGTTGTAACTGAAATACATCCTACACTAGCAAATAAACTTTTTCTCTTTTACAATGCTAATGATCGTTATGAGAGGGACACTAAACAAATTCGAGGCGATATTGACCTATCGGTGAGTCACACTATGGAGTGGCCCAACGATTTCTTGACCATAGAAAAGAGTGAATATCTCTACCACATTTTGACCAAAGTGCATGTTTCTTTTATCACTGATAAACGAAAAGTGTATAGCTCATAATCATAAGAGAACCATTGATAAAAGCTATTTTGAAGTATTACTATGGGCTTCATAAAGCAACAAAATCTTTTACAGTTTATGAAGGCTGTGATGTGTATTCTTCATTTTCAATGATACACATCGGCACCTTTAATGAAACTAAATTTTTATTATATAAAGATTTGGCGTTCTCTATCACGCTATTTCACATATCGTTCATCATTTTTCTATGCTTGTTTCATGTTCTGTTCTACTCTTCTTCAATTTACTTTTTCACACCTTCATCATTTGTCTTTTTTGTTCTCTTCAGCTTTTATGTATGTAGAATCACATACGCCTGAGTACGAAGAGCTGTTACAGGCATGTTATTCATATGTCTTCATATCATTCTGGATATTTGTGTTTGTTTTTTTTCTGGCATAGTTTCTTTTCGTTCGGTTTTATCTTTTTTCCGTTTCTCTTCCTTCTTTTTTTACTAATCAGTTCTGTTCGCGAGAGTGTAGACAAGAGTTAAATAAAGGGATCTTGTAACGGTGCACCATTCTCAAATTCCATAGTCACATGACGAGCAGCAGCAATACAAATGACGACATAGAAAAATCATCAAAGAACTCCGGTTGTATCGTGCACTAGCTAAATTCAGTCAGAATGCATCAATACCATGGAGGCATGTGTTACAGTGCTCCACAGAATTGTTACATGCCGTTGAAGAATTCTTGGATGACGATTCTGAATCACCTGATGTTCTTGTCAGTCCTATTACTACGACCATCGGCTTTACTCTCCGACAAGTTTATAATAATGCGAAAAATTCTAAACGACGAAATCATGTTGTTCCTTCATCTGGAAATTTACAACGCTTCGATGCATTTTTTTAGTATTCTTTACTCGATTCTTCGTAAACTGATTTTCGAAAAACTACATAATCAAATTGATGGAAGTCTTTTCTATATAAACAAATCCAAAATTGTTATTTTTCCGGATACCCAACAGAGATCGAGTGTAGCAAAGGATGGATATTTTTACACAGAAGTTTTTTTACGACCACTCCGTTATAGCGTTTTTGCCAAATGGATCCCATTTGACAAGGTTCAGCATGTCGTTCACAACATGAAAGATCTTCTCAATATTTTGCATTTAATAGATTCGAAGCACGAGATTGATGTTGGACAGCAATTATGTCTTAAAGGTCGACCACATTTAATCTATAATGGACCTGATCTCATTTGCTTTTCTCATCTTGCCCCACTGAACTTTACCGACAGTCAAGTGTGTCCTTCACTGGATCAAGACAATTCTCGATTTGGTTGTTTTCATTTAACTGTACCCTTTAAAGTCATTGAAAAAAATATCTACAAGCATACTGCCTCGGCATACCCAAGTACAAGAAAGAGTATTGTCACTCATTTTTGCTTACTCCTACTAACAAAGAAATCACGTTCATTGAAAAATTTGAACCAATCCAACTTACATCAGCAGAATTTGTGAAAAAGAAATATGCGAATAATTATTTTTGGCTCTGTTATCGTCATGATAAGAACATGGTTTGGGATGTAGTGGAGTTTGCTGTTTCAGCTAGTGAACTAAACCTTGCTATATATGTTGACCAGATACATTTTGAATTTGTCCATCATTCGAGTCCCTATGTGCCTTCATTAAAAACAACGTCTTGCAATTCTCCAACTACAAAGATTGATGCCATGTAATGTTTTGTCAAAGAACTCAATGATATTAGTATTGAAATCTCGAAATTGCAAAAAATCTTAATAAGCTAACACCGTGACACAATCAAAATCTTTGCATATAAGGCGGATATTTAACTTTCGTAGTGCAAAAACAATTTATTATATTGCTTAGTGACGATTGTATATCACTCAGAAAATTGTGTTGAAAAAAATAAACCACTTTAAAAGAATAATTTCGACTAGCAGCATTCCTGTGGGATACGTATTTCGGTCTGTCAGAGTAATGTTTACATGGGGGTGTAGATGAAACAACGTCCATTATGTACCCACACTCGCATCTACAGTTTTTTTTCTTAATTCTATCATTCGTTGTTGACAGTAACGACTGTTGTCAGCCACATGTGTAGATTTTTTCTTTCTCTAGCAAACGTCTTGCTTGTTCTGTTCTTCATTCATGCTCATTGCATATTTGTTGGAATTTACCCAGTTACTTTCTTTTTTTTTTTTTATTAACCTTCAAAAACACAAAACATTTACAGCATATGATTGTTGCAACAAAAGGTATGAAGTTGATGCCTCTATATTATTCGAAAAAAACAAGTAACGATTTACAATTCAAATCATGAAAAATAGTGTAGAATCAAATTAACAATTACATCTTGCGCTGATGCTACCATCAGTTCAGATAAGTATTTACCGATTACCATTGGTGAAACAAATATTTTGAATTTCATGCATCGTAAAACAATTTCTGATGATCCAAGTTTCTTCAAAGCCTCATTCTTCTCGTTACTACAGGTAAAATGTATGCATTCTTTATGAAGTATTGAATCGAGAACCATTAAATACGAGGTAATATCAATCTATTGGCTATATAATACGTCAGAAGATTGACTTCTTTTTTTTTATCTTGTTTGTGAAATAATGTTGATTTTCAATTGTTCAGTTCTAGAAATATACTTGAAATACAGACTAAACTAGCCATGAAGTATCATTTAAATTTGAGATAGGACTATAATGATCAATATTTCACGCATATTTTTTCTCATACGAGCTATTACCATTTCTATATGAAACTATTCGCTATCTATTTTTGAAAAATGTTTGTTTTTTTTTGAAATCACGTATTCCTTGTTGTAATAGTTTTTCAAAGCCAGTGTTATGCTTTTATTTTGTTGATCGATTCAGTCGCATATCTGAAAATTTATTTGGCTTGAAAATTTGCTTTTACAGATATATCAGTGCGATCAAAAAGGTACTATACTAGATGATAAATGGTGTTTTATTAGCATGTGGCGTTGTTCTGCTTTGGTTTTTTTTGCTTAGACATTGTTAATCATCATGTGATAACACAATGTGATAAAAGAATGAACATAAATCATTTAAAACCAAATCAACTGTATCTATACTACCAGTAATACACACTAAATATATGAACATCTAAGCACGATTGAATAATGATCATATACAACAGCTACATGTTTCGCAAAACTCATAATACTAAATGCTATTTTAGACATTCTTAGTGTGTAAAAATCTCTCAAAAAGAACATAATATTGTTTTTTTTGCAGCTAGACGCAATATAAGGATATACGGATGACAATATAGGATCAAAGATGATGAGAACGATGAACTTTGAGAAAAAATTAAAATGATTCAAAAAAAACCCTTTTGTAGTAAAATCTTTTTTATTCAACACATTTCAATTTGTTTCAGATTTTTGTGTTTCATTTATCTGAAACTGGTCGACGACTTTTGTACGAATAGAAAAAGAATAAAATTCCTCAGCATTATTTTGAATTGAAAGTAAGTCGATTGACTAGTGTCTAACAGTTAAGTGCTAGCAAAATGACGACATTCATTATAATTATGCTCTAATAATTTTTATTATTCATAGACTTATCATGAAGGTGTATATTCAAACACTTGACGGAATGGGACGAAAATATGGATTTGATGTAGAAGGCTCAACAACAGTTCAACAACTTAAACAACTCTTTCTTGAAAAGTCATCTATTAAATATGATATGAAAAAAATGTATCTGATCAACAGCCAAAATAGGGATGTACTCATCAAAGATGAGGAAACTCTTGGGTATTATGATGTGCAAGAAAATTCTGAAATGCAATTGCATGATCTTACCAAAACAACTCGTGATTTAAGCAGTTTGGGATTGAGATTTGTTGATCTTGGTGATGGTACAGGTTTTAGAAGAACTGCATGGGCTGCATCGGCTGCATCGACTGCAGGAGCTTCACGATGGCGACTAGCCGGACGTGGCTTATGTCTGGAAGGTATCTGCGAAAATCCAAAATGTGAAGCTAACGGACACCAAGTTGTCATGACAATTGGTTACAGAGTATTCGATATTGTAGCAGATACAGATGCAACTACGACTCAATGTCCGATATGTAAAAATTATGTTGAACCGACAACATGCGGATTTAATAATTGTTGGTGGAGATATGAGGGTAAGAAAAAAGATCAACAAGGTAAAGGTAAAGCACCAATAAAATGTTCATCTGATTGGCAACATGCTGATGATGCGTATCATTATTTTGATCAACAAACGCATCCAATAGTTACGTGGACACAGCTGAAAATTGAAGCTGTCAAAGATACATGAAACATCATTTCATATTTTCCTACTATTTGACTTTACATTACCGTCATGATTTTCATTTTTCAAAAGACGGATTATTTAGTTTGTTACTTGTGTTGTTGTATTGTTATTCGTCTCTCTCTATTCTTCATAATTATAATTACATACAACATATAATCATTTACTTTCTATTTTAAATCAAGAGCCATCATCATCATAACTTTGTCACTGCCTTGAAATCTAATTATTAAATATCATGTAGAAAATAATCAATGCACAGAAAACTTTCAATTGTAAAATAATGCGCTTCCCTACTAGATATCTAATTAGAAATAACTTATTATACATTACTATACATATTAGAAAGATTTTTAAAAATTTTTTAGAAGTATGCACATTTTCTGACAATTCATAGAAATATTTTTAAAGTTTACGAAATTTTTCATACCGTTCATATGTGTGCATCATCGAACTTTTGTATATAATTTGATGACTTGTTCAAAAAAGTACGCTAAAACCTTCACTGGGAACGATGCAGATATCTTTTTCTACCAATTCATTTCTAAAATTTCTTTTAAAAAATTGAACCTGAAACATCATGGTAGCAACGAGTTTGAAGTATCATAGTGATCGACTCGATATTTCTCAGAATTAAAAAACTGCCTCGCTTCAACTGTTACGCAGTAAAAAACAACTTTTGAGAGTGTGGGTGTGGGTGACTGTATGTGTAAGTGTGATTGTGGTTGAGAGGAAAACTATCACCCTTATTCACGCGATGATCTTTTCAACGCTCTTGATACTATTAGCAAGTAGAAATTCCCTTGAGAGATACAAATCATTTCTGAAGATATTTCGATGATCAAAATCATTCTCATTTATTTCGTCTATATTCTATTTTGACATGGGTATCAGTTTTTTGTAAACTATTAGATAATCACATATATTTAGTTTCGTTTTGTATTTACACCAATAATCGATTTAAATGTATAACTCCCGCTTCCGATTTTGAATACTGTCACTGCTTCTCTCGTTCTAATTTGAATCAGCGTACCATAATCTGATGTCGCGTTCGTTCCCGGTACATAAACATTTGCAATCGATCCATATGGAAGTATAGCTTTCAATGTGAAAGCTGCTCCAACTCGATTCCATTGAGTCTCAATCCATCCTCTGGTGGTTCTATAAGTTACTTCGACGTGACTAATATTTCCAACAATGGCAGGCTTAATATTTAAGACCCGATAGTCTATAGAGTTAGCAGCTTGTTGTATGCCGGCAAGAGAACGCATCAACCATTCGTCTACTGCACCAAACATAAAATGATTTTGACTGCTCAATGACTGGCCTCTAGCTGGAGCAGGACCATCCCAATCTTCAGTAAGAGATGTTGCACCGTGAATAATTGCATAACCATAGCTCGGGCTGTCTGTACGTGAGAGGAAGTCATAGATTACATCATCATGGCCATAGAAGCTTAGCATTCGAAACCAGGATGGCAGAGAAACTTCTCCAGCAGAAGTATGGTTCCTACGCTGACGAATGTCATTTATCAGATGTTGAATAACATTTTGTTGTTCTGTGATAGGGACTGCACCCATTTCTAATGCAAATACATCAGCGGCTTGACTTCCTGTGGCGTAGGTATGAGCAGTCCCATTGAAATAGGTCCTATGAAAAGCAGACGAGATCTGTGATGCTAAATCTGAATATTTCTGAGCATCGTCAGTTTTATTCAAAGCATTAGCAATCTTTGCAAGTCCATTAGCGGACAGCCAATATCCATATGTTCCGGTGACACCAACAGGTGTTGACTGATCGATGGCATACCAGTCACCAAGGCCGTATGATACAATATTATTTTCCGCTTTGGACGTTAAATAATCAACCCATGACACCATATTTGAATAAAATTCTTCTAGTAAAGCTCTCTCTCCATAAGATTGGTAAAGATACAATGGTAGGAGAATAATGCTGTTTCCCCAATTAGGCTCATCTCGGAAGGCACCGCTAAAAATTGGATATTCAGGTGCAGTTGTGGGAACCATTCCATTGCTCAGCTGTGCTTCAGCTATGCGGCGAACGACTGAGCGACCATGGGCTTGGACATCGAAAAAACGCTCAATTGCGGGAAAGACGAGATGAGTTTCTTCAAGCCAACCAAGTTTTTCCCGATGCGGACAGTCAGTGAATACAGAGAACATATTACTTTGTACGGCTCGGTTGACAATTCGGTGAATACTATTCAAAATTTCAATAGAACTGTTGAACGTACCGGTCACATCGTTGTTAATACGCAATGTATAGCTTTTGAAATCGTTGACTTGTGGTACATAGGTTAAGTTTTCAACTTGTAAATATCGAAAACCATGATATCTACGAAAATTATTCATTGAATCTTTTCAAAATAAACTGTTTGAGCTTACCTAAAGGTTGGAACATAGGTCTCGATGCCTTTACCAGAAAAAGTATACCGATCATAAATTGGAGTTCCCTCGGTCACTTGATTGATAGTTCCATTCGAGTTGAGCAACTCAGCTGGTCTCATAGTAACAGTTGTTCCACGTGCACCTCTCATACTTATCTTTGGCCAACCTGCATGATTGACTCCAAAATCGAAAATATATGTACCATTACCTTGATCTGTGACAGAGATTGCGATAATTTCTTCAACTGATTGGATGGCAGGAGATTCACGAGCTCGATAGATAGCATTAGGATTTGGTATGCTCGAAATATCTGCCATCTTCCATGTCGAATGATTGTACGTTGGTGTATCCCAGCCAAGGAGTTCTTTTCTTGCATCATATTCCTCACCACCGTACCAGCTAGATTCAAGCAAAGGACCTGTAACAGTAGTTAGCCAGCTAGAATCCGACACAATATATTGATAACTTCCATTGGTATAGTTCAACTGTAGTTGTGCAATCAACTTCATTGGATGTGGTGTTGTAAGAAACTTATAGTAGCGTCCACCAAGTGGTTTTTCAGCTCTATAAATTCCTTTTCCTAGAGCTACGCCCAGAACATTGTCACCATCTTTCAGAGTGGCTGTAACATTATAAGTTGAATATTCAATGGTCTTATTCCAATCGAAATAACCAGGGTTAAGAACACTGTTTGTCACTGCTTGACCATTCACTGTTGCGACAAACTGACCCAATCCTATAATCCATAGTCGTGCACTTGATACTGCGCTTGAGATTCTGAAGCGCTTAACAAAGTAAGGAAGAGATGTGTTGCCAGTTGCATAATCCTTGTTTTCAATCCAAACTGCCGGATCCCAGTCGTGTACATCCAGAAGTCCCATTTCAAACGATGCAATCTCGCTCCATCCCGACGTCTTACCATCATTGTCCCAAAGTCGCACTTGCCAAAGAATTCTTTCTCTAGATCTTAGCATTGGTCCTCCCCAGGCTATCATTGTAGAGTCAGATGAAATCTTCCCAGAATTCCACAATGGATTGATGTCGAGATCTTTCTCATGATGAGCAGCTCGAATCTGATAAGCCACTTGACTTGTATCGCGAATTATTTTCGAACTTTGTAATCGCCAGCTGAGTAGTGGTATTTTAGCATCGATTCCGAGCGGTTCATAAAGACTCTGTGTTCTTAGATTATATGGTTCAAATGCAATTGACCAGACTTCGGATAGTGAGAAGGTCAATACAAGCAGGAACAATAACATCTAAAGACATATATTGACTATATGACTTTGTTTATCTTGACGATATTACATTGCGAGACAATAGTCAAATCATGATACTGACAAAGACTACCCAAGATTTTATGGATTCAGAATCAGTTTTCTATTAGTAATATGCAGAACTATGAGCTTATCTCCTGTGGAATTAAGTTTTACTTGAAATTTTTACTGAATAAATGAATGACAAAGAAAGAGCTTTTATAGCTATGAAGAATAACTCTGCTTTCATATACTAGATTGCACCGTATCTGACAGAGAGCAATCTTGAGAAATTTGTTATCATTAAGAGCATCGTCTTTTTTTTATTTGAGCAAATAATTTGGAAGTGAGAAAAATACAACTTTCAAAAGGTCATTATGATGAAAGTTGCATACTGTTACAGATTATCATTATTCTATTCTTATTACATGTTTTCGGTTAGATCCAAGCGACTGACTTTTGACTTTGAGATATTCTTTCATGTTGTGTTTGTTTAACTTCTTCCTTATTTTGTCTATCACTTATGCATGTCCGTTTTGTCCACTGATTGTTATATAAGGAAATGTGAGACATTAGAAGAGAGACAAATGAATGCTATGGACTAAACGAAACTTTCATCACTACGTTCATTGACTTCTTATTTTTTCTATAGTCATTTTCTAGAAATTTCATTTATGAAAATAATTGCAACTTACTCTTAATCAGTTCTAAGAATAGTAACAGTTGTTTCAAAATATAATTGCTCGCTTTCTTTTTACAAAAATGTTAACAAAATTGAATGTCTAACTTGCTGCAACTGCTCGTTCTATGAAAAGTAAAAAAGATAAGAGATATCGTTTATTCTTATCTCGAGTTTTTGCGCTGTGCTCGATGGAGAATATTCTAGTTATACTATTTTACATGAGTGCAAAATAACTATAACGTTTCTTACCAAACACCATCTGTAACTTGTTCCAAGTTTCCATATCCATCGAAGTTTATTATGCAAATAATCATATAAAACTGCTATAACTTGATGGATCGATGATGGAATATAGCATGTGTATGTAAGTATGCGTTTTAGTGTGCGTGGCGAGAAGATTCTCACAAACAGCCGCATCCAGTCAACAGATTTCAGATGAACTAACTAAATACTCTTGATGCTCGAGTCAATATAAGAATATTTTAAATGCTTTGACATCTGAAATTTCAAGCATGGATAAATTAGTATTGTTAATAATGATAACATTTTTTTTTGTGTTTAAAAGTGTATGTAAAAATGGTTTTAAACAAGATAATATTTTCCGCAAAGATAATAATAATTCTTTTTGTAGTTCAATCAAGTTAGACAAAAATATATCAATCAACATTCTATAAACTTAGATACGTTTGATTTGCTTACCTTTTTTAGTCTATGATAAAAACTAATAAAAATAAATTCCACTTAATTATTTTTACTTTTGGAAAGAAAATTACATGATGATTTTTTTGGGTGTGGGTGTGCGATGAAATTAGTTCAGATGAACAAGTATTCAATCGATAGTGTCATTTATTAATAGCTATCCAAAGTAAATATAAATTGAATCATACTAAACCATAATGCACAATCTTCATTTTTTTACTTATTATTGTAAACCAAACTTATAGAACAAAGATGATAGACAAACTGTAGCAATTTAATCACAAAAACATTCAATAATCTACAAATGACACAAAGGTTTTTCCATCAAATTAAACGGCTCAAAGACAAAATTATATATCTTTTTTCAGTCAGACAAGACTCTTTAAAAAAGCATTTTAACATTAATAGGTATTGGTTTCCTGGTTTGACATGAATAAGTGGCTAAAGTTGTGGATGATTAAATGATCAAAATTAATAAAGAATAAATCTAGAATATTATATATGACTGTTTAGTATTTTTGAAAGAAAAAAGTCAGCCTAGCAATAATACAACGAAAAAATAACTACAAGTATGAAGCACTTCATAAACAAAAAAGAAATTCTATTGATTGAATTGAATCGATTGATGTGTAACAATTTCCTATTTTTCTGTTACATCATTTTTCTATATATTAAGATAATATTTAAGTTTTTATGCTTCTAGCTGCATCCTTCGATTTCGATAAAGGTCTAATGCACGCTATGCACATTAGAAGTCAATTAAGAAATGTGATTGATGTTTTCACCTAGTAACACAGTACCAATCACATGTATATTCATCTTTGTTTGCGATGAATTAGTCATAAGAGAGTTGTAGAACGTATTCAAAATAATATTTTCTACTTCGGCAAGCAAAGAAAAATATAAATTCAATATAACGATCTTGAAATTAAAAAATATATTTTTATAGGTTGTATTTGCCTGACCTCTGTTGAGAGTTTGTTTCAAGTTATGATATAGTAACAGGACCGCCTTCATCTTGAAAATCATGTAATTATAGCTTAAATCAACAGACAAAAGGTCAATTTGGCTATACTTCGAATTTTCATTGCATTGTGCTTTTTTCTATCGTTTACAAATTATTGATCGATAGAACTCTACAAGACAGATACATACCTTCAAATTTTACGTTGCAGTAAACTTGGCTTCCTGCTGAAAATAATGCATATGTAGAGAAATAATGGAAAGAAGCTCATTTCGTCCGAATTTTGAATTTTTGTCTTTGCTTCACACTGTTTTCCTTACTTTGGAGGTTACCAATTGATGAAACTTGAAAAGCTACTGACACAAAAGCTTACATAATAAAAAAAAAAGATCAATCTCTACCCAGGTATTGTCGTTTTTTTTTCAACAATTGTATTTTCTCGACATAAAAAATTCAGATTCGTAGATAACTCGAAATTCAGAGTTAGAAAAGATATGTTCTAACTAAATTTTAATAAATAAATATTCTATGATGTTTTTAACAATGACAAATTATATCCACAGAGTAATTAGAACTTTTTATGAAATAAAAAAGTTTTGAGATCTCTTATGGTGATATTCGTAATCAGCATCCATGAAACTAGAATCACATCTGGTTTTAATTCATGAATTAAAAGTAATAATTTGTTTTTCTTTGATATCTGTGGAAGACCCGAGGTGCACAAAAACCATCAATGTTGTATTCCAGATAATAAATTTGAAAAAAGTGATCAGGAACGACCCCTATTAAAACCTGATGAAAAGATATCAACTCTAAAGAGAGGACACAAAATAGCCTTCTTCGTTCTTCTTGTTTCGGATATATTTCGATTTTTTATATTATTCTAGTACCTAAAGTTGAACAAAGATTAATGTGATATATATATACATAAAAGCACTATCTATATTATTATTCAAGATTATCTTCAAATAATTTCATCAGATTGGTACTTTTATTCTTTCACATTATACTTTTTGTCTTAAGTATTTGATAACTGACATCTGTACCTTGTTGAGTATCCGACTATATAAAATGCATCAGTTAGAATTCTTTTTATATTTTGATAAATGTTTTTAAATCATGTACCTTTTTATTAATAACCGTAGTTTAGTGAATTAAATTGAGATAATTGCTTATACTTAGTCTTCAAAATGTATTCTCAATGCTTGTTCAGCTTGGAATATTCGAGAAATACGAAAGAAAGTCCAAATAGACCCGAAACTTATCAAATACGTTTTATATATGCTACTTTCACACAACATCCTATGATTAGATGAGATTCTTGCAGTTAGAATAGTTTGTATCATACAGTTTCATTTTTCATTAGAAGTTTGATTTTCGAGCTCAATAAATTATTAGAGAAAAAACACCTATTTATAGTCTTAGTTCGCTCCAACAATTTATTCAACTCAGAAGTCAAACATATTCAAGTTTTGAACAAGTATATTTACGTAAGGAAACTTCAAGCCATTGTGATTACGTAAACATGTGCGTTTTTCATGATTTTATTTTTGCTAAAATTTCAACAAATGTTTACGGTTATTTGTCTTACTGAATTATGTTAGTCTGAAGAAAATTCTGACTACCATTGAAAATGACAACGAACCATGTCAAAATAGAGAAAAAAGTTAACTTCGCCAAACTTAAGTTGATGTTCTTCATTTAAAAATACGAAATGTGTTGTGAAAAAATATCTTTTTCACGTTGGTCAAAATTTGTAAAATCTATCATTAATTAACGGAGAGAAAGGGTCTACAGATTTGCATGTAATATCTATCGACAATAATTCACCCTGATCGGATATATTATCTGTGCGAAAATACTGCATTATTAGATTTTTTTTTGATAAAATGATAATTGTGAGAAAAATGCAAAATAGTTTAGAATGCCGTTTTATTGATAAGTCATATTTTATGTTTTTATGTAGAGTTATCAACAATTATAGTTATTCCTCTATCAAATAGATGTAATGTTGATCTCAGAAAGATATTTAGATCATGAAATAACTGGTTCATTATAGAACGTTTATAGTGGTAAAAAGCTTTAAAACATGTATATTTTTAAATCAGAATCTCGAAAATTGAAATTTTTTCCTGAGTCTGAACAACAACGAAAACTTCTTGCTTATATGGCATTTAATAGAGAATACTTGAAGATACTTTAAGAATTAAACAAGTCTAAATCGGAACAGTACATTTTTGTGGTCAACAAAGGGAAAATCTTCATGATTGTTTAGTGGCTCCCACCTAATTCTATTCGAAGAGAAAAAACTGAAAATTTCTCAACATTAATGAACAAACGCACAGAAGGTAAATTATTTATTTGATACCAACTATGACATGTTTTAAATGGAATTTTGATGTGAACAAAAGATCCTACATGGTTCATATTGAAGGCAACTCTAAGCGTTTGGATGTCGGTAGATGTAAGTATAGATACATATTTAACGCCTTTATCCATACTCTCATACCCACAACTCACTCCAGATCCACCCTAGAAAAAAAAAGAAACTTCTTCTATAATTAAAGCTCAAATTTATTCAATGTTTGATTATGATAGCTTCATTGGAACTAAGCGTATTCAAATATGAACTTTCAGTGAGTCAAATGAATCATTTCTAGCCGATAGTTTTTTAATAGAACATCAAAGTGACGATGATTAACAAGATCATGGTGAAAAAATTCATCCTTGACAATAACGTGCAGGTATTGCATGTTACAAATTGACAATCGTCAAATTTCACTTCGAATTTGTTATCATCTTCGACGCCTTTAATACCGACATAGACGAACTCCGGATTTGTATCAGGTTTATCAATGACCAATGTCATTTCATTACTGGAAGCTCGTGTTTCCTTTGAATATGAATTGGATAATGGAAAAAATCTTCCAAAGACATTGCTTGTCTTTGTTTCATAAAGATTGAAATCGTTGGGATCTTTCGGATTTCGATTATTGAACGAGTAGAATGCAAGTACTTTGCCATTAAACAATGTAATAGTAATTTTAATTTTGTTACCAACTATTTCAATTTTAATTTTTAAAAATTTGTATTTATCTTTTCCAACTTCACCAGTGACGGTAGTGTTTGTTGGAAGAGGAGCAGGTTCTGAACAGGTTTTCGATGTAAATTGATTTAATTTGCGATCAAGAGCTGCAAAATCTGAAATTGCAAAATAATTATCGGTTTCGGGTGGTGTACAAATAGCGTGCAATTCGATGAGATCAAGATTTGAATCATTTCCGACTCCGACACTGACTATATGAATATCTTTGTCTTTTAAAATTTTAGCAGCTTCTATAGTAGCATTTCGATTATCACTTGCTCCATCAGTTATTACAAAGATGACTTGTGTAGCACCATATTCCGGTTCTCGAAGACCACGGTCAGATGAAAAAACCTTATTTATTTGCCGAAGAGCATTAGCCGTGCTTGTACCTTGTCCAAAGTAAGTTGCTCCCTCAACTGCTTGTATTTTTTGTTGGAGGGTATAATCTCGATCTAACCATGTCAAAGTTTCATTTCTCGTCGAATAATTTACAATGCCAACATGAGTTTTATTTCTACCAACATTAACTCGACGAAGTAAATCTTTGACAAAATTTCGTTGCAATTCATAATTGTCTGAACCGATACTACCACTAGCATCGAGAACTAATCCCAGATCCATTTTCAGCTCTTGTGAACAAGTATCTAAGCAACACCGAACATGAACTGGACTATTCGGACACTGAGGACCCCTTCCACCAACACACCCACAATATTCACCGGAATCTTCAAGACCTTTAATACAATCTGGTGAACAAACACCTTGATGCGTAGCATTATATGTACAGTTCACTCCTTGACCTGGATACACATCACCACCACATTGTAGTCGTCGTAAAAATTTCGAATATTGTTTGGTGGCATGAGCTAACTTTTCAATACTTCCGGTTAATTTAAACCTTTTAAAATGAAGACAAATCAAAATGCAACAATAATACTGGAGAATTAAATAAGTACATACCATACCATCGAAAATCCAAAAAATGTACCATCAGCATAATTTGTTAATGGTTTTTCTATAATGAAATAGAATTCATCGAATGAGCGACTTCAATAGCAGTGTAGTTTCTAGCATCTCTCAAAACCTTGTTCAGAATTATAGAAAACAGAGTTGTCAAGAAAAGTAGAAGGTAAAAAATGAAACCAATTATAAAGAAAAGGCTTTATTTAATTTAAGTTTCTTCTTTTTTTTCTTCATATTAATATTTATTTTGCGTATGTTATTATGAAGATTTGCTTTGTCTGTATTTATCGTAAATCTCTTCATCGATTTTTCGCCTATATACAGATGCTGTACAATGACCTAAGTATATGACATTGTCCGAAGCTGTTTGCATCCATTAGTTGAGTATTGTTTTTCAAAGAAATAGCAGATAGAAAAGTCAATATAAGTTATCTTTTAGATAGCTGCAGATCGAGGTCTAGTTGTCATTCCAATTGAAAACATTTTTTCTATTAGTGATTAAGGGTATCTCATTATCCTCCATTGCTAGGTTAAAAAAGTGGAATTTTTCGATTCCAGTCTTTTACTCCTGACATCCTTCCCTTTTCAATATCCTCTATCGAATGTCATATACAAATGATCTTGCCAGATTTTCACACAGTCGATTACAGAAAAAGTTTCTAAGAGAAGAAAAGAAGTAAAAATTATGACATAGAAAGAAGCACTGTAGAAAACTTTGTCATAGCCTAACTTGATTTTTCATATTCAATATGAATATTAATCAATACACTTAAACATCTAGAACGCACGATATTGTGGAAACCTTGAAGACTTTATTCTTTTCTATCCTAATGCTCATTGTTGTGCTTGCAAAGTGTGTAATTGTCGCACCTATCAATCAAGGATTTCTTATATGACAACTAGCTTACATGGCTGTGCTTATCACCAATGGATATAGTTTTATATCTAAGCTAAATGAATACAGTTTTAAATATGCTTGACATTTCATCTGGTTAACTGTTTGATGCACACATCAATAAAAAAAAGACATTGTGTTCATATGATGAGTCAGCAAAACCTGTAATTCGAATTCCTATTAAAGATTGTTGCAATTGTTCCGATGTCTTCTATTTATTAATAGTAACTAGAGTGATAATTTCTAACTGTTTGTAAATATTTATATAGCTAATCAACAACACAACAAGAATCTTACCGTCGAACAAGTTTGGATTTTTCCAAAGTTGAGCAGCAATGATACCTGCATTTTCTGTTATGGCTGCCAATTCGGGATTTGTTAAAGTATTGTATTGTGGCAACAATGTTTCCAATCGTTGGTACAAAGTTCTTCCCCGAAGACCAAATAGTCCTCGTTGACGAAATCGTGAACCATCACCTGCTTGGATATTTCCATATTTACGATCATCACCAGCAAATTGTGCATCATTGCCTGTTGCTTCGTCATTTTCAAAATTGTTCGTCATAGTGGCTGCTATTGCTAAAAATGCTGCTTTTGCTTGACAATTAGAACAAATACCGGCTTCATATATTCCTCTGCTGAGAACTTTCTGAATGAACCTTTCACGAGATGTATTGAATAGAGAAGCTAAATGGCCTTGATTCAAACATGATTGTCCTATTGTCTGTGGTCTTTCAAAAACACAGCAACGTTTCAGTTCACAAGAAGTACCATCTAATAAAGTTCCTTGACAGTCGTCAACTGATGAACAGTTACCGGTAATGGAGGTGTTAAATCTTCCACGGCACAGTTGACCATTAATAGGAGCAGAGAATAAAATGAAAAGAACGAAAAGCAAGGTTTTCATGTTTGAAGCCTCAATTGCGTTGTGTTTATCGCATATTTATATATACCAACGACACTTGATTATCTTTTGTAGATATAAGACGAATTTATGACTTGAAAACATTTTTTTTATGGTCAATCATAAATTATACATGCTGCAATAAATCCTGATAAATACGAACGAAGTTGCTATACGTGAGAGCATAAGAATCAATCCCACTCTTTTTATAATAGAAACAATATAGTCTTATCTAGTATATAGCACAGTGATTAATTGTCAAAAAAGCAACTTTGTACCTATAAACTTCACTTCTACGAAGACGATAAAATCTCTTTTTTACGTTAATATATGACACACCCACACATGTTCTGACTATTTTAACATCGTAAAACTTCTCAAAATAAATGATTATGACTATCTGAAGTTGACTATGCATAAGAGTGTTAGACAGAGTTAAGAATGAGATTGTAAGCTAAATGTTATCAACTCCTATTATTTGCCATTAATTCAACAACATCTCAACGCAGGGTATACTCAAATTCATATTTGCGTAGTGTGTAGGCGTACATCGTTTCTTCATTCACAACCACACTTAGTTTTCTAGACTCTTATTGAATACATATTTTGTTCGATCATGGAATTTATTGATAACTAATTAGAAGATATATGTGGTAACTTTCTCCTATTTTTTCTTTAGTACAAGCAATATTTCTTTTTTCTAAGCAAATCAAACAGTTGAAGGCTGATTCAAAATTTCTACAGAGTACGTAAATTATTAAGACGCTATAAAAGTACTATATTTATGAGTTTAATGTAAAAATTAACCATTTGTAATTGTGGTTCTTCAAATACCAATTAAGTGAATATGTTCTCTGTCACAGGAGACGGTGCCCATTCTGTACAACGTTCCAATTTAATTTCAACTCCATTCTTTGATCGCATGATTAAAATTTGCTGATCTTCTACATGTACATTTTGTATTTCGGATAGAAAATTACTAATCACCTGTTCTTCTTTCATTAGTTCCGATGGACCAGCCATGAGTGTTGACATAACATCAGCAGATTTCCATTCATTAGTCGTAGGATTGTGCTCCAAATTACAATGTAACATGTTGACAACATTTGCAAAAAGGACGTACATATTTTCAATGTGTTCATGGCGTTGTACTTTGAACTCACAACCGATACATTCAGGATGTTGAGGAAAATCAAGGACTTTCCATTTGCCTTCTACACTATTATATTGTGATGATGCACGTTCTAGTGAACCATGTTTTTGATCGGAACGAGTGATTGTTACTTTACCATTGCCGCTGAAACTCACGACTAAATAAATATAATAGAATATGAGCAAATTGCCAGAAATCTTATTTACCTGGATACAATGGTTTCGGATATGGTGATTGTACATGAAATGCCAGACCTAATGATCGTTCATTGTGAAATAAGTACATTTTCATGTCTGACTCAGTCAATTCTAATAATATGTAAACTTTATCGCCTTGTTTAATTTGATTACCAAAAGACTGTACTAGAAGACCACTGCCATCCGATAGATTTCCTAGAACAACATTAATAGTGTAAAAATCACCAATAGAATCACTAAAGGTTTTTTTAAATACGTCGAACTGAAGTAAATGTTTATATTCATTCAATTCGCGAAGCCTCTCTGGAATGAGTTGTTTTCCGCTACTTTCTCCTGTTTGATGTAAACGAGTTCATATCAATGTATAAAAGAAAAATAGCTACATTATCTGTATCTCTCCGCTAGACTTCGTTTTTGAAGTTAAACTATGCAGTATGAAAATTACTCTCAATCACCTAAATATTTCATAGCTTTCATCTTATAGCCTGGCTGAAAGCTTTGTTTAGTTGTCAAACCGACTGCTGAGCTGCCACCTTCTGTCGCTGATTCGATAAATTTCAGTTCCCAAAAGTATTGCCCATTATGATCAGCTGGATCATTATACATAATATTGATTGGGCTATCATAGTAACCATCTTTCGTACATGTTATAGTGTTGCCATTTACATGAACAGCAGATGTGTTGTCACTTTGCTCCACAATCCACGACATAATGATGGGATTTGAATCGTGAAATAATGTCTCAATAGATCTAGAGTAGAAATGATAATACGATGAATAGAAGCAAACGTTTAGTAAGATCACTGAACAGCAACTCTCATTCGTTACGTCAAAAACATAACTCTGTATGTTCATTTTACCATTGCTATTGTTTTTACAAAGAAAATAAAGAGAAATGCAATCAATGCAACCAGAATAAGAAAAAGAGCTATCAATCATTCCGTTCAGTGGCGTAGCCAGGGGTAGGGTCATTGGGCAATTGTCCATAGCTCCAAAAGTTATTGCCCATGGATTTATTGAGTTATGCAGTGCTTGAACAGTTATTGCCCATAGATATTTTTGAAATCATAACGGTTGCCCTTAGCTGTCCGTAACTCAAAATAGTTCGGCTGATGAATTGCCCATGACTCAAAAATTCCTGGCCACGCCACTGATTCCGTTTCATCCTTCCATTTCATAATCTTGGATGATATATAAATATTAGAAGCACATGCATAGACAGTCTAGATATACATAGATGCATACTTAGAAAAGTGTCGAAACATATGTTAGGTATACAAAATAGTTACTTGTTACTCTATGTTTATCTAATATTTACAAGTTTCATCTTCAATTAGTTATTTAGTTTGACTACTGCTACTCTCTCTAATTTTGTTTGATTGCATCGGATGCATGAGAACGTGTAGTTCTTTGTCTATAATAGCGAAGAACAACAGTAGTACAATAAATGCATTGACTGCCAATGCTATCGACCATTTTCGTTCTGTTTTTAATTATAAGTGGAAAACTGATTAGGAAAGAAGCAAAAATAGACACCGATCTTTCTTAGACAGTCAGAGGATGCACGAAAAGTTTTATGCAGTTCTGATTCAGATAAGAGAAGTAACCGTACTTTGACCTTTTCATCAATCTTCTATCCACTTTTATACAAATGGCTGCTGGTAGTATAAAACTTTCAAACTACGAAGAGCTTAAACTGACAATCGTTTTATTATAATTAGATTTGACAAAACACATTAGTATTTCAGAACACGAATAGGCCTAGGAGAGCTTCCAGTTCTATGAACTGTATATTTTCCAAGACCTGGGTATAGTGATCAGTTCTTTTTCGAGAATTGGTTAAAGTGACCAGTTCTTTTACGAGAACTGGTTAAAGTGACCAG